GAGAGAGAGAGAGAGAGAGAGAGAGAGAGAGAGAGAGAGAGAGAGAGAGAGAGAGAGAGAGAGAGAGAGAGAGAGAGACCACGACTTTGTGGCAAGGCACCACGGGGCCCCACTTGAAGACACAATACGGGAGATCACCCCTTCACCACCGTCCCACCCCGTCGTGGTGATATCTCAACGTGGTCCACGCCCTCAATGGACTATGTAAGCGCCACATGACCCAGCAGCAAACAGATGACTCATGCCTGATGGAGACGAAAATGCATCACACCTGGCTTTGTATATGGGGCTTTATATCTGCGACCTTGCTTGTTGGAGTATGATGCACAACAAGTTCCTTCGGTAACATTTACTTTGCATACGACTCGAGTGGTTGAGAGCACTCGCTTGCTTTGTCATTTTAGCGCCAAGCTCTTTGACATTTGCGCACAAAGCCCTCTGATATCGTCACCCACTTTCCTTCACGACCTTCACTTAGCATCGCTCCCCTACATCCACAATATCCTGTCACCCCCACCGCGACAGGCGCGCAGCCGTGCCCCTCTGACGGGGTCAGGTGTGGAGGCGAGGGCGCGGGCGGCGCGACGCCGTGACCCCGACCGGTGCTGTGAGCCGCACCCCTGGCCCGGCTGAGGCTGACTCAGCGGCGTGGGAGCACGGAGCTCCGTTATGACACCGGGACCGGACGGTGATGGAGAAAGTGCACTGCCTCCGTTATACCTCTGTTGCGGAGGGCGGTACTGGGGGAGTGGGGGCCACTCCACAACAACGATCATATTGGAGTGCAACTAACCACTCACGGTCAGGCTCAATTTACAAACAGGCTTGTCAGCTCTCAGCGCACATCCAGGCTCGGACAGCTCACTTTAAAGCCAGGCCCAAGTAGAAGATAGTCAGCGACTCATGGTTATACTCTGCAGTCACTTTTCAGCCGACTCAGAGGACTGACGACATGTTAGCTGGATCAGTCGAGTGTCCTCAATAACGCCAGTCGAGGGCCGCGATAACGATCAGCAGGAAAGGCCGGTCTACTTCGATCTGATGGCCCAAGGATGTTTCAATGTACCGATCCCAGTTACAGCACCAGCGATCAATCACATCGTTCAATCAGCAATAATCTACGAACCAATTTTGTGCCCACTGCACACAGCTCTTATTGGCGTTCAGAGTTTAGCACCGCTTCCTGAGCACGTGCGGGCTTTGTCGTGCAGCTGCAAATGGTTCGCTATCAGACACAGAGAGGGAACCGACCATCAGCGCTAGTTGACCAGCTTCGCCCAGCTCAGACTGCAGAAGTTCTTGCACTGGAAGAAGACCAGCAAGAGGATTTGGCGTGCAGGCAGCGACTTTAAAACGACCAGGCGATTCACAGATAGACTCAGAACTTCTGAAACTGGAGGTGACTGGTATATTTACGGGAGCATCTCAGTCAGCTTTCCTTTCTCGTAAGCTAAATAATGTTGCTAAAAATAAGAAGTGGCATTAAGCGCAACCACTGACGACACCAGACAGATAGTCGCAAATTTCGCCTAATCCGCATGACACAATGGAGTAATTTAGTTCAATTGTGCCTGAGAGGCCGTATCAGCGACCGATCCATCATGCTAACTGCAGGCCTGCCGTGAAGGCAACAAAGGCACTGCAGTCCATTCAGCCTCCGCGGAACTCGACTTATGTCAGTCGTAGGACTCGGAGAGTCAAACGCAGCTCGAGGTCCTGTCGCCTGAATTACCGTAACGCATTCTACCATAAGCGGGAGCGCTGAAGAGAAAAATTCCTCCTAATTGCCGCAGACGGCTCCCAGCTGCGACGTCCGCTGGAGGCTTTCCGTACCATCTGTGCACGTGGGGTGGTACAGCGCCACCCGTCAGCGGCACGTGGCCGGATGAATGGAATGTCCCCGGGCGCTGCCGGGCCATGTTCCCAGCCAGCGACCGGTCGCGGTCCGCACGTGTAAATAGAGTGGCTGCGGCTGCCACCTCGGCACCACGCCACCCGTGTCCAGAGGTCGGCAGGCGTGACATGACGTGACGGGACGCACAGCAGCGTGACGCGTGACGCCAGCCGCACGGAACCGGCTCCCATGCGTAAAAAACGACAGCAGCGACGCCTCTTTCACCCAGTAACAGTGGCATCCGTCTTTGGTTGGGATAGCGTGATGGGGTTTGTCGTTTGAGCTATCTGATGATAGGCTTCTTTATAAGTGAAATAGATGGACGCTTCTCATGGGCGACAGCTTAGGTGCTATCACAGGACATACGATACACTTTCCACACGATACGAGTCGTTTTCTTCCGTATCGGAGTTCCAGACATCCTCTCGAAGTTGCGCAAGCACGAAATACGGCCCAGTTCCATCAAAACCAGGGCTGCGGAGTCGATGGATTTTCGGCGACTCCGACTCCGACTCCGACTCCGGCTTCAAAAAACCAGCTCCGACTCCGACTCCGACTCCGACTCCGACTCCGGGCAGAATTGTCGACTTCGACCGACTCCAACTCCCGACTCCGACTCCGCAGACCTAGCAGGGCTGCGGAGTCGACAGATTTTCGGTGACTCCGACTCCGACTCCGGCTCGGGTTTCTAAAATCGACTCCGACTCCGACTCCGACTCCGACTCCGGTCACAACTGTCGACTCCGACCGACTCCGACTCCGACTCCGACTCCGACTCCGCATCCCTGATCAAAACCACCCCAGAACCCGTTTTATGATCTCTCGAAGCCCCTCAGTTACCAGGCGATGGGTCGCCTTTTCTCTGGTAAAGGTCACCTTGGAAAGATTCCTGAACAAAAAACAATGGCTGGCACTTGGCAGTGACAGCCAGTCCTCGTACGAAAGAAACCACCCAACATTCTGCATATCAGAGGCAGGGACGACCACACCACCCCTCAAATTTTTAATTGCACAAACTCAGCCAAAAGATGACTGCTCAGAGACCCCTGGATGTAACAATCCCCAAATGTTCCACTGATTCGCCAACGGCCAAGTCCTCCGACAACGCCTTCCCAGACAAACCCTACTCCATGATCTGTCACTGCATATCACCAGCATCCCAGGAAATCGGCTCGCAGCAGGGAGGTCCGCCCGCGGCCGCCCCATCAGGCATCAGCCCACCTCCCCTGTGGGCGCTGACCAATCAGCACTTTGTCCCCGGGGACCGGCCAGACCCTGCATGATTAACAAGGCCGGCGAACGACGTCCACAACGCCCGGCTTTTCGCGACCGACTCAGACATGGGCTGGACACGGGACACCCACGCCGGACCAGCTGACCTGGGCGGACCAGTCGACTGGGCGGGCCAGTCGCTGTAAGTGGCCATGAGCCCGGATCCTGAGTTAGCCAGACGAGATCCGCGAGATACTGAGCCAAGCAGATAGGGGAGATGCTGGACCCGGGGAGACGAGCACCGAATGATGCAGCAGACAATGGTAGTGGAGCATACACTCAACCAACTGCAACTGCAACATGTTTGCCCAGCGATGTTAATGTCCTTTTCAGTGTTACGCAAGAGAGGAGCGTCACTGGCGGTGACAACAAGATAATTGCCGTCCTAAATTTTAGTGGCGGTGGGCAGTGCGGTGCTGGCGTCAGTCACAGTGACGGCAGTGAAGGTGTCGATGACGGTACGAAGGTTAGGGTGTGTACCGGCGTCATCTGTGAGCCACACCCCCGCCGCCACGCCTGGCCCACCACGCCCAACCGCTACCGGCCTTGGTGCGTTGATCAGACGGGCGGGGCCGGCCATCACGGCATCTCACGGACGTATGAAGGGATTGTCGGCACACAAGGCTGGAGCGTGATCAAAGAGCGCGCCGGGAGATCGGGTACCCGGGACGGATGGGAGAAGGGGTCCTTCGGGGGCGTCTATTGGGACCTCGCCAACAAAATATATTGGGCATTCCGCATCGCACTCGTGGATTTAATCAAGGTCCGCTGGTAATCCACAGCCGTTTGTCCAAAGTACAGCCTCACAAAACTGAGCAGCAGCCTACTACCCCGCATTCCACACAGGAGTAGATTAGTCACGATTACCGCTGCGTACCGAGCACCGAGGTCGTGCGCTCTCAAAGTGTCGTGCCTTTTGATCAGCTCTGAGCATTAGCAGTTAATCTCATCTTCAAGAGGGTCTGATTATGAGACTATTGACAGAACATTGTATAGAGACGTTGGACTTTGACCGCCAGCGATTTCAGGCTGACATTGTTTGAGCACTGTCTGCCCGGGTCACCCATAGACGGCGGCACCGCAGTGACACGTGCCAGCAGAGATAGATCTACAATCCAGTTATTTCCGAGCGACAGCCCGTCAATCCTGTAGCGACCTTGAGCTTTGTGTGGGAGTTTCCTCCCCTGGGCTGGTTCTAAATACAATCCGTGGGTCGGCTGTCCTGGAACGGTTTAATTAAAGCTCCACACTGCAAGGGACCACCAACGCCACCCACGGATTCCAGACCACCTCCCCGGGCTCTAGCGAGTGAGTCATTGAGTCAATCATCCCACACTGCGAAGGCACAACTATGGCATCCTTTCACCATTCTCGGTATCTCGCCAGCTGCAGTGTTGCAGTGTCTTTATACCACAGAGCATCCAGTGTCTCCTGTGTCTCACTGAGACAGCTCCCCTCTCCGCTCCCATCCGGTCTCGGGCTGCTCCCCTTCGCAGAACCGCCCGAGGTCTGCAGTTGATAACGGGACAGCCGCCGTGACTCCCAGGCGCCACATACACAGCAGCATCTCGCCGAGTTGCTATTACGACACTAAGGCGTCTGGCGCGTGGTTACATCACAAGACGGTGGTCTCAGCTAGAATCCACTCCCCGCTAGCAACGGCTGCCGCTTGTCGTCAAGCTGCTGCAGAAACTTGTGAGGGGAGCCACAACACAAGTTTCTGTGTGCGGCTGCCCGGCTATCACCAAAAAGCGGATGGACAACGCGCTGACTATCTGTCACCAGTGGACAGATACCACACCGACTGCATGCCACCTGTTCCCCGCGGACCTACCTGTCGTCGCCGCGCAGCGGTGTGCCGGGGCCGGCAGCGGCGTCCGACCAGAGCCCGGCCGCGCCGGACCCGGCCGCCGCCGCGCTGCCCCTTCTGGACATGGTTGGCCGCTGCTGAACGTCAATCAGTCCGCCCGCATCGCTCGCCCGCCTGGAACACACAGAGAGCCGGTCAGACAAAGAGCGAGCGGGCGGCGCGGCGGTGGCGGGCGGCTGCGGGGCACCTTCCGGCGCCCACCGCCCGCCGGGACCGAGCCGCCGACACAGTGATGGATGCGCCGGGTCAGATGGTAAGCGGAGCCGGCGGTAACACGGACAAAAACACCCCACCGGCCGCGGTCATGGCACGCGGGGGTACAGGGGCGGCACGTGTGTGCACACCAGAGCCGCGTGCACGTCACTCACGAACGCCCGGCGGGAGCGTGCACGGTAAACGTGATACCCACGCACGGTGCTGACATGGCTAACAAGTGTGAAATGCATTTCAAAGCTCGAGCTCTGTGCAAGCCGCAGGGAAATGTTCAGACAAAGCCCGCCGAGTCCACGATTACCGTGACGCTCGCCAAACTATGAATTACGCAATAGCCTTCAGCACAGTGGTGGGAATCAATTACGTCACAAGGCAGATGACATAATATCTGTTGGTCGCTGAACATGGTCACTTGTGAGAGGTCGCCAATTCTTTGTTTCTGTATGTTCCCGGCATAACAGGATCCACTCACTCAGAAACTTGTAAACGGTGAAATCCTCACACTGTGTAAGAATATGTTGTCTGTTCTAAATAAATGGACGGTGCTTACCTATACCAACCTCAGCAAGGCAATCTGCCTACAACAGCACAGCTCAGTTAAGTGCAATTAGGCCTCAGCTACGAACGCAGGCTTTCTCAGGGTTCAATGGCCTCAAGGTCACAAAGGATCATAAAGGTCCCGGCCCAGAAAGCCTCGAGGTCACAAGATTACAACCGCTACCGGATAAAGGTGGTGCGGGTCGCATGTTGTCTGCATATTAAACTTCACCGAACCGTTCCGTAACTCCATCTTCCGGTAAGTTCATGCATGAGAAGCCAGCGGAGGTCATACTACGGAAAATACAGCGGCATGAAATCACGGCATAATCTGAGCCCCGGCGTAATCGTTCCCTGGCCAGTAGGGTGGCACTTAAAAACCAATTTTTGATTTTTAATGCGTGCGGGTGGTTTTCCAGTTCCATTCCCGTAAAAAATAAGGGAGGCAAATTTTTATGGGAAAATATTGATGTTTAGAGGTCGCGAATCAAGGTCAAAATTGAGATTTTGGTAGCATATTTCAATATCATCAAAATCGCTTCTGAGTTTCCTATTACGCTGTAATCGGATGATAATAAGGCGTTTCTTAGTCATTTTCATATTGTTTATTGATATTCCATGCAGCTTCGGCCACGCCAGAACGCTGGTCTATGTACTCCACTACTCCAGTTCCTCCTCTTTAGTAGATTATTGGCGCCTCATTGGAGGGAGGGTATCATGGGCAACGGGCACCCAGATCACTTTGTGTGTAGCCTGGTTAGCAATTGCAGTCGATCTTCGGGTGTCAGGTTAGCGTTTTCTGTGATCTTTTCAACGACATGGAGGAAGAACTGGCGCTAATCTTTGTCTTCCATGAGTGCCAGTCCTACATCAGCGCCATACCGCGCCTGGTGAAGTCATTCACCACCCGCAGCTCCCGGACTACACGAGCTGCGGTTTGGTAGCTGCTGTCCTCCCAGTGGCCTTGGTCATTGATGATGAGCCCCGCGTCCAGGTCATGGATCCTTGAGTTATTTGAACGATGGTATGAGGAAGCTCGCCAACGTCTCGGTCGCGAGAGCGGCGTTCATAGTGTCCACTAAGGACTTATGGGGCGGGTCCCCTCTCCTGCAAGTCTATTGCCCGCACCATGTCTTGATTGAGCACGAGGGTCGGGGTCTAAAAGCTCCAGAGTCACCAGCCGATCACTCAATTACTACAGGTGACGGCCCAAGACCGGGACTGTCGCCTTCGACAGCTCCTTGTCGGGGTAGGTGCAGAACGAGTTCACGAAGGTCAGGTCCAGAGCCGGCGCAGTGGCAGTAGAGTCCCAGACCAGGCGGCGGCGGCGGCGGCGAACTTGCAGGCAACGAACAGCGCACAGCGTCTGATGACCTGGGCCTCGGCCGCCGTCAGCCGGAGCCGCTCTCTGAAGAGGAAGGCATCCACGGTACGGATGGTCTTTGCCATCCACCTAACTGACCTAACTCAGTGGAGTACTCTGAGGCGGAAAAACGGATGCCGTGCTTGGAACTCCACCGAGAGCAATTACGCAGAGCTCCAGAAGTTTTCGGTAGTCTTCCCGGAGCTAGGCATAGTCCAGCGATGGAAGCGATGAAAGCTGACCAGCAGCTTGTCCCACTCCGGAACGTCGTCGACGGCGAACGCCACCGGTGTGATCCTGTCAATGAAGCATGAACTCCCACCCGCCTTTGAACCTCTTAAACAGCCGGATGTAGAGGCCGCTCGAGATTCTACGGCAGGTGGAGAAGGCCTTCTCTAGGACGCTCTTACACGTGGTGCCGGCAGGCCAGCTGGAGGACGGGCCGATCCAGCTTCTGCTCGATAAGGGCTAAAGTACCGTTCACCAGCATGCTGTTCGCCGTCGTGGCGTCGAAGCAAAAGGCCGCAGTTCCGCTTCTCCAGTTCCTAGTCCCCCAGCGCTGTGAGCATGGCCTCCTGTGCTTGGATGGAGGGGAGTTTGGGAACGGCGAGGAGCTTGACCACCCTTCTCCCCCCCCCCCATCACCAGGACCTAGAATCGGTCGACGCTCCTTCTCTCGCGGTTCAGGATTCGCGGTTCAGCCGGAGTCGTATCAGAAGTTCCGTGCCGCAGTTGATAACAGGTTCACGTGTTCTTCACACATTACGGTTGGGCAGTTTGGTCCGGTCGAGGCCAGTTCACTGTTGGGGACGTCCGATCGCCCGCATGCGCTTGGGAGTGTGAGTCGACGTTTCTCTCTCATGGTCGCCATCGTCAAAGACGTTCCCTCCGTGTGCGCGCCGCAACGGCCGGGTAAGTCTGTTGCTGGCACTGGCACTAGAGTCGGAAGAAGCGCCCACGGAAGAACATCCCGAAAGCACAATAAACCAGTGCAGCTCAATGCCCACTTTCGCCTCTGCTTTCGCCCGCCGGCGATAGGCTGACTCCAACTTCTTCACATTCTCTTTGACAGAAAAGGAGCATGTCTCAAGAACCGATAGAACCGTGGGGCTCGTCCTCCCTTTGGAACAGGAGAGACTGGTCACTCCTCACACTAATAAGAGGATATGAACTCCACTGTGAGAAGGCACCGGTCGCAGGCGAAAAACAGGCCTGACATGGGTAAAACCGCCCAGATCAGACCTGTCTTGGCCTGACCTGGACTGGCTACGATCGACCGGAAGTGATGGGATAAACAATTGTTATACAAATAAAGGTCAAAATACGTCGGATATGACGCTTAATGACCACATATGTCATTCCAAATAGGTTTAAAGTAGTTTCCAAAAAGTTGATTTTTTCCCCAAAACTGCCAACTTTGACCTCAATTCGCGACCCCTAAATATCAATATTTTTCAAAATCATATTGCACACATTATTTTTTACGGGAATGGAACCAGAAAACTACCCGCACGCCTAAAAATCGGATAACATAAAATTCACCCTATTGCTAAGTGCCACCCTACTGGCCAGGTTATAGCAGGAATCCTACAATGAAGCACTCAGTGTTACACAGTAACCAACAAGTTTTCACCACTCGTCATTGAGAAGCAAACCTGGCACATCCGATGGACTGACTGCCTGTATTCATAAACGTAAAACTTTATACGCATTAGCGGCAGTTCGACAAAGAAACGTGCCTCAGAGGTCCACATACCAACAGGATTTGCTACCTATTTGATAGAAGAGCTGGATGGAAATAGAACTATTTGCTGGAGAAGACAGTGGAAGAACGAACAGCCACCTGCTCTGTGATCTATCTCTTTCTCCGATCTTGTCCCCATCCGAAACCTCATTGTTGGCGCCAGGTGTTTTCACATGATGCCTAGAAAGGACTGATCAAAAGATACCGAGGACCGCATCCGTTTTCACCTGTCGAATACAATCGTCCAGCTGACAACACGGCATCTCCAGCGCAAGGTCGCCACACTCCTTCAGAAAGCCGTTCCGCTTTCGCAGGCACACGGCGCCAGGTGTTGTGTGCGCCTTACCGATGGTGGTGGTCGAGCTCCGGCCAGATGTGGCCGCCGTCCTCGCCGCCGGAGGAAGCCACGTCACCGGCTGGTGGTCGGCGCACACCGACCGTCTCTCCACTCACTCGTCCGTTCACCCGCACCGGTCCGTTCGACACTCCGCTCCGCTCCGCAGTCCGCTCCGCCCGGCGCTCCGCGGTCGTCTGCGGGCCGGCGCGGCGTCAGACCCACCGGCGAGTCGCGCCGCGCAGCCCACGGTCGAGTCAGCCGGCGAGTCGCCCGCCGGTCAGCTGGGCTCCGACGGCGACGCACGCGCACCGCCGTCGACTCGACCCCGTCAGCCGCTTCGTGCAGCTGCACCCGGCGCGCGCCGAGAGCGGCGCGGACGCGATCAATGCGACGCAGCGATCGGCGCAAGGCGAGCTCGCAATTAGTCGGCACGACGGAGGCCGAGAGAACGTTCATGGTACGGCCACCGTGTATCACGAATCAAGAAAGGACGTTGCGGCACACACTTCTTTGTTTCTTTCTGTGGGAAAATTACAAATGTCTTATCCAATATCGAAGGTCAAATGGCTTTGTTTATCCTGTGAAGATATTGCCTTCATCAATGACGTTATCCATTTCCAGCTGTGTTGAACGAGCCTTCATTTTCAATCATATGAGAAAAATATTTGGGGGATCTTGATGTGTGCAAATCAATTAGGTAGAACAATTATTGGGATAACAGGATTTTAATAATGTGCAGCTGAGTCGGACAGCAGAGCCGATGGCATTAGGCCGGTACCCTGTAACCCAAGTCACACCTGACTCGATCACATGATCCCAGAGCGCGGAGCGGGGTCGGTGACGCCCGGACCACAGTCGCCTTTGGACGCAGCGTAGCCGAACCATGGACCTCGGAACACACAATGTTTACTGATGACGGC